AATTTCTTTTATTATTTATTTCATATTTTTCAAAAATTTAATTAACTTTTTTCAACTAACACAAGGATTTTAAATCGAGCAATGGAAAACTGTTCGAAATAAAACATTTTTTATCTCCAGCGAGCGAGACTGTTGTCATTTGGAAAACGTATCTTTCAGTTTTAATTAACAAACTCGACTCTGTGAAACAGATGTGTTGCCGCTGCCGAAAATAAAATACTTTACCTTCCACACGCCAGCGAGGTGCCACTATCATATTTAATACGGAAGGTTACTGAATAACAAACTAAGTGATTTAAAAGCAATATACACAATTCTTAATAATACTTTTTCTATTTTAATGCGATTAATTTAAATAACTTTAAATAAATAAAACTTGTGTATTCGTACCTTCTCCGGGATTCGAACAAGGGCTCTTAGGTACGGTAGTCAGCATCGCTAACAACTATCCTGTTTGGGCGGCAGTTTCAAAGCTTCCTGTTCATATGTCCTAGTTAATTAAGGCGATATGCTCAAACCTATTAGGTAACGTTTAAAGTTCGCGACTTTTGGCATTAGATGGCTGATGTGACCAAAACCCGAAATGTGCAATTATTTACCATTACTGAGACCTTTGGCCGACGAACTCTATAGCTCGCAGAAAAACCTAGCCAAAGTTGGAACTTCTGGTTTTTTTTTTTTTTTTTTTTTTTTTTCCATAAGTCTAACAGCCTCCTAAAATAATTATTATTTAAAAAATGAGAGAAAATAGATATATTAATGATTTAATAAGTTTAGCTGGTGTACTTTCACGAATCCATCTAATAATAAATGATAAAGGAGATGGAGCTGCGTTTCTAGCTTTTAAATTCCTTAGTTTGTTAATCAACACAAACAAACTAAGGAAACACAGATTAAATTTGAAAGAAAAATTAAATTTCTTGCGCTTTCCCCAATGGCCACATTGATGGATTAAAGCTAAAAGTACACTGTTGAACATTTAAGTTACTGCACCATAAAGGTGGCATGCATCAAACGTCATATTTGTATGAAAAATACTACATGCTGAGATATGCAAATGATTAACATTCCAGCGCATGACTACAAAGCAGGCATGAGCAACACTATTAACATTGTGCATAAATGGTAAGACTGCACAGTTGGTTTCTCATTTGGAAATCGCATTTGAACGTTAAGGTCGTGTTAGCTCTCGTGTAAGAAGGAGAAACTTATTAGTACGTCTAGGATTTCGATCGTGGCAGGATTGTGGCCTATAGGGACTACGGTTTATCTTTCTCCGACATTGCTGCTCGTGTTGCACAAGATCCCTGTCAGGCGAATATGAAATCGATGGACCAAAAGGGCCGTACTGAGCACAATTGCGAAATCTCACCGGCCCTGGTCCACTAATGCCCGAGAGGACAGACAAATTCTACTCTCGATTTTGTCTGATCCTATAGCCTCGTCACGTACCCTAAGTCAGGAACTTGCCTCGTGTGTCCACACGGACAACGCGACAACGTATGTAGCAACAGGCGCGCTTAAAATGGTGCGATCAACGACGACACTGGAAACGAGAGTGGCAGCATGTTGTCTCACGCCGTATGAGTCTCGTTTCGCGTAAACGTCATATTTGTATGAAAGGTACTACATGCTGAGTGTATGAATTTATGACGAATATGAACGTATTCGTGTGTGAATTTAGCGAGAACAACGAACGTTACCCGCTTGTACTTGTCATCGTCATCGTTATATTAATCAATACCAGCACCTCGAATACTGGTATTGGGTGCCGATTGGGTGAATAGGCCCGGTCGCCTCTTCTTTGCCCAGCCTTGAATGAGGACTGCCACCGTTACGTTTCTGAAGTGTTAAGTGCTGTGCTGTATCATAGAGCCTGCATGATGCCATCTTTCGAAATATAATGCACAACCGCATGTCGCCCATGCTGTCCTGACCTTTCTCGATATTAAAGAATGCTCAGTTGTTGCTCTGACCAGCACATTCTTCAGATCTGTCACCCGTTGAGAACATCTGATCATGGGTTGCCGAGAGACTATCGCGTCACCACTTGCTAGTCATTACTACATGATGACTTCTGGCATAGAATTGAATTTCCATGGAATTAAATATCCATATTTGTTATACAAGCTCAGTTCGATTCGATGCTCAGCCGTTGTCGTTGCCAGAAGTGGCAGCCTTGTGTCCTGAATTCTTCAAGCTATGTAAATTAAACCACCTTGCAAATTTAATGATGTCTTCTTCCCATTACACTATACGAGTGCATGGACAATATCAAAGATTCTTTTATTTGCTTTCTTAGTTGGTATAGCAATTTTAATGGCAGCGCAATGTATTTAATTTCAGGGAGTGGCAGCACATTTCTTTTAAATTGGTGAGTCTGTTGATTAAATTTTATTAAGTTGGCACAAAATATAAAACAAATAAAATGCAAAATCGCAATGCATAATTCAGGCATCGAGGTACTCGTGTTCGGTAGAGGACTATATGTATTCCAAAATTTGGTGGCTCTTGGTGTCACCATTGTTCCCAAAGCACGAGGTAAACGTGCATACATACAGATAACATTAATAGAAGTTAAAACTACATTTTAAAGTTTTTACCATCAATTACTACATATATATAAATCTTTATGCAAGACTCCTTGCTACTCAAAAAATAAAATGAAATAAAATGCAGTCCGTCACAAAAAAAATATATGCATCCAGGCGAAATCGAGATACAGTCACGAAACTCGGTAGGAATGCAGTCTGGCAAGTGATATGCAAACGATTTAAATTTCGACGTCAGTGAGACATGGGTAAGTGCGTTATACACGTATGAGATGTGCAGCTGGGAGAGCTTAAAAGCATGCTTGCTCATGCCGAAGGGCTATTCAAACGATTCTGTCGACATGGATGGACGGTGTTGTGACTAGAGATGCCACCGAAACGTAACCAGTGACAAATCGAACAGTTGTCGAACTTTGACAAGGCGCGTATAGTAGGCCTCAGAGAAGCAGGTTGGTCGAACAGGCCACTACCTCGGTCGGAGCGATATGGTAGTTGCTCTATGTTGGTGATAATAGGATCCCGAAAGGGATAGTCTACCGTTCGTGGAGGGTCAGGACGTCCCAGGAACACAAATGAGCGAGAGGATCGCGCAATCATAAGAGTGGCCACTTCCGCACCAACAACGTCTCTAGCATCGATTCGACTCCATTTACCACCTTCCAGGCATCCAGTAGTATCAAGTGAAACCATTCGAAGACGAATGTCTGACGCTGGTATATACTGCTGGCGTCCATTAAGACGCCTACCACAACCCCATCATCATAGGCAGTGTCGATTGGAGTTGTCCAAGTTGGAGAGTGACCGACTGGAGGCGTGTGATCTTCACCGATAAATCCCGATTCACTCTCAATGCTGATGGCCAACGCACACGCGTGTGAAGGTGGCCAGGCCAGGAGTCCGATCCGGCATTTGTTGTTGAGCCGCATACGGCGATTGCGCAAGGTATGACAGTGCGGGGAGTGATTTCTAGCTAGGTACCAGCGATAACCAAGAAGATGTTAATGATAAAACGTAAAATTGGAATAATTATATAACGAAACAATAAGTAGAGCTTCAATCATCGCAAGCAAGTAAAACGTAGAAACTAATCACAATATTAAGATCATTCTTCTGCTTCGTTTATCTGTTTTTATTTGGTATTGATAACTCTGAAAACTATTTACTAATATCAAGTCATATTTCTTCAATTTTATGTTTATGGCCCATAAAAAATTTTAAAAATATTTCTAATTATTTAGTAGTGATGGTACTAATAATTAAATGCAGCCTTTTAAAGAGTTACATCTCTAAATAATAAATATATTTCTCATATGCAGAGATGAAAAATTCCATAAAAAGCACTAAAAAGGAAACCTAATTTCTACGTTTTTCCTGGAAAAATTAGAACTGTTCGATCAAAACCCGAAATATTGGATTTTGGATTTATTCGGTTATGGTAAATTACACTAAGATATATGTCTAAAAGGAATGATGCCTTCTTGGAAAACTTCCGGTGGGGGACTATTTCACATTCATATTTATGTTGGCCAGGATTCTAATCCGTATTGAACTACCAATCTCTATCGGAACTAATGATATCCGCTATCGGAACTAATGATAAATAGTTATTTTGTTTCAGACTTCAATCATCATTTCAATAGGCAACGTGCTAATGGAATAAGGGCTGATGATTCTATGAAATGGCTACACTTTAGCGGTAATATATATAAGCTGACTGAATAAATTTCATATCAGTATGGCCTAAGTAATTAATTGTAAAACATGATTTCCAAGATATTTCAGATTTTTTCTAGTTCTATATCAGGTACGCTATGTAATAGTGATAGTACGAACAGAGAGTTCACATAATAAATTCTGTCTTCAAAATCGTTAAATAAATCCAATATAAGCATACGTATCTCGCAATTAGGACCAAAAATTCATGAAATTAATTTTATTAGGAGTCAAAAATATCGTAAAAACACTTTTTTAGTACATTTAAATTTTGTGCATCTGAAGAGAAGTTCTAAAAATTGAAACATAAAAAATTAGTGTATTTGTGAACATTTTCTTCTAACTAATTAATGGTTTTAAAGAAATTAAACAATTCCTTGAAATAAAACTACTTAAAAGAAAACATAAAAAATACTTTTCCTTCTCGAACTCCTAAAATGTACTCATGAGAAACATTCTCAGAATGCACTCTGAAGAAAAAAATTACAGCACGCAGAAAACGCAAGAAAATGCATCACGAATCAACAACTGCATATTTATGTCAAAATTTACATTTACTTCCAGGACACGCCTCGGAATTTCTTATTGTGTTTTCTTTAAATAGGGCAACAGAATGATAGACCTTGGAATGCAGTTTTATTTGGCGATTTTTGAAATTCATTTACTAGTATAAATGAGAGCTTTCCCTTATGCTATCCAATATTTCCTTTTCATCATCTGAACCTGTAAGCAACACTTCCTTATCTTAGAGAAGTTAAAAATGTCCATCATTGCTCTAGCCATTTTACTTCTTGCAGCATCCAGCTTCTGCTATGCAGAACCGATATTTCCTGCAGCAATTCCTGATAAGAATGACCAAGCCTTGCCAAAGCCTTATGAATTTGGATATGAATTTGGTGATGGATTGGGAATGACACAACATCGTTATGAAGTATCTGATGGAAATGGAATCGTCAAAGGAAAGTATGGATACTTAGATCCTTTAGGAGTGTACAGAAATGTAGAGTACACAGCAGATGCTGAAGGATACAAAGCTGTCGTGCACAGTAACGAACCCGGTACAGCCAATCAAAACACAGCTGATGTTGCTTATGTTGTACAATTTCCTCCACCAGTTGTTATTGCCCAGGGATTAAGGGCTGAATTTCCTCGTCTGTCCCTTTGAGTTTATTTTTCTGATAATTAAACTGATGTTTTATAAATAAATGTATTCAAGTTCAATATGTTTTACGAATTGCTTTTATAATAGTTATAATAAACTCGGTCCTTTTTCTTTAAAAATATGTTCCGAATTTTTAGAAGTCTGTTTACAAAACAATCAGATAGAAAACCTAGTCAGTTAAGTTTTTTGAACGTAATTAAGTATCTTTGCTTAATCGAGTTTCGTGATAAAGGCATCTAAATTCCAGACATTATCAGAAATCTCCCAGCTAGTGTATTGTAAATGCTAAATTAAGTTCAAATCAGAGGAGTCAGAAGAAATAATATTAAAAGCAATATAAATACGTTGCAATACATTAAATAATGTGCAACACAATAAGTTAGTTTATATAACTTTTCACATTTTTAGGGAAAGAGAAATTCCATAACAGACTGTAATCTGAAATCTGAAAAAAAATGTAAAGAAGTTTCTGAAGTTAGGGAAAATTCTGAAATCACTCATTTTATCAACACAAAATTAATTTGCCAATTTAATTTTTCCTACGAACAACTTTAACCCTTAAAATAGAGAATAAGCGTACTAAAGGAAGAATTACAAATCTGGGGAAAATGTATCATTATCCTCAGTTCTTTTTTTCCCTTTGCAACAAAATCTACAATCATGAAATTGATCAAACAAGTAAATTTAACTCTTAATTTGTATGTCCCGTATCTTCTCCATCACATTTTTAATAAAAATAATGCATAACAGCAGACACATTTAGTCATGCATCGAAAAGGTGTACCCCAAAATGTTTTATTTAGATGCTTTTTGCATATGAACAGTCAAAAATCACCCATAGACAGTTCTATTCATCTAGAAAAAAGAAAGTTTTAGCCTCCTTCTATGGAAAGAACTTACACAAAATAAACATCAGCATGAAAGACGCATGTCTACAGAATTATAAGACAAAATGATGGCCAAAATTGTCTTTACCTTAAGTCCACATGAAACTAAATTTTTGAATTTATACGTATAAAACTCAATGAATTTATTCGATATGATATTGAACATCATAACTCATAAACATAAAGAATAAGAATACATATGACACAAAAATTTATTTATGAAATATATTAAACTGAAAGAATATTGTGCAACAAATTAACAAAACGTTTTTGCCTTTTAACACCAACACGGAATGTAATTTTCCCAAATTTTTATGTACATTTCTAAACGTAATTTCGTGATCTTTTTGAAGTGTTAATTAGAGGCAAAGAAAGTAATTTTCACACATCAACCAATATGCGCTTCAAAGTACGGAGATTTTTAGAAAGAGAGCTTCGCTATACAATATTTTTCCCAAAAATGTCCCATAGTTTTCTCTGAGATTCAAATTAGAAGATTTAACTGGATAGCTTATTCGATTGTACTTTCAAATTATTTATCAACCAGGTTTGTTCGATGAGAACACGTCTGATCATCCTTAAAAAATTCAGGTCCACCTATAAACAACTTAAGTATTCGTATTTCTGGGCTGATGTAGATCTCAACATTTCTGGGCAGATACAGGTCTAACTTAAAACCTTTGGGTAGCATGTCCAAAGGATCATTATTCCTCAGCACATAATCACATTTGCAGGCCTGTAATATTTTTTTTCAATGTTTGGCACTAGCCATTATAAGCGATGGTTACTACTAAGGCCAGATGCGGTGATCACTTTATTATGGAGGCACCTAATATATGGGCTACCGTTGCCTTCTATGAAGGGACAGGAAATCTACATCCATGCTTTTTACAGGATTAGACCGTGGGCCCTTCGGTACGTCAACTAGAGTCACTAATCACTTTCCCGCCTGGCGACTTGCGATACTGATAGAAGGTTTTAATGTGCATTTCTCCTTTTGTGTGTAAACGCGTTTAGATTCGGTTGTTAAACCAAATCGCTGTTCGCCATTGAAGAGAACAGAGGCCTCTTATTTTAGACTCCAGTTCTAGTATTCTTTTCGTCAATTCTAACAGTTTTTTGTTGAGGGTTCAGTAAAAGGAATATTTTTGGCTTTGTGGCATAAAGACCTTTCTCATTATGCTGGACTCAAATTACCGTAATGCAAATGTTCCAATGGCGGTTGAGAGTTCCAAATTCAGTTACCAATCATTCAAATTTGTCTTGAAATGGACAATTATGTACAAAAACTGATCCTGAGAAACAGATGTGTTTCTTCTAGGACTTATCCCTGGGCCTTAGCAGCAGTTTCAGTCTAGATATTGTTTCCAGAGTAGAATATTGTCTATCTTGAAACATTCAATAATCTTGTCATTGCTACAACTGCCTGCTTTAAGCGTACAACATCTCAAAAGTTCTTCCAATTGATTCTTTGGAGTCATAAAAAAACTATTTTGATTCGGCAACTAACGAAATAAAAATCTGAACTATGGATGTCCAAAAGAAAGGTACTTATGAAAACTCTTGAGACGCCTCTGGATGAAGTCATGCTATTATTTGCACTTAGGGAACAAATGTTATTAGATAGTGATAGTTAAGCTTACTCCGTTCAAAAAAAATCAGATTTATTTTTTGCATCATGGAATAAAGTTGTTTTGTGTTTGTTAAGAAAATTTTAGATCATAGTATGCAAAACGTCACTCAGTGACTGCAACTTAAAATATCAAATAGTTAAATTATTAAATAGTTTTGTATTCATTTATCAGTGTAGAATTGTTTATGGGCTACAATAAATATAAATTATTTTTAATAATATAAGCAGATGAAATATGTTTATATTATATACATTTATTAGGGTAGAAATGCCTCCTTTATTTTACTTTGGTGTAAGCATGTGGTATCAATAGGCGTAAAAATACTTCATTGATTTTATAAAATATCAATTTTATGATTTTTAAATTTTATAAAATAAAGATATACTTAAATGTAAAATTCTAAATCAGCATTTTAAATTATTTTGGAATCATAAAAGGGATTATGGTTTTCTTAAGGAAAATCATAAATTTTATTATTATTTTAAAAAATGTATAGTATGATTGTATTTAGATACTCAGATGAAAACAATATTGCCCGAAAACTTTTTGAAATAAGAATAATGTTTTTCAAAAGCTTCGTCTTTTAAAATTTGTATCCGGGACTTTATGAAAGCAGTTACTGAAATGACAAGCTAATGCTGTCAATTATGAAAACATGCTCTTGCTATTCATCTCTGTTTTTCTGTGGCATGCATTTCTTCTTTCTTCACTATAAAAGAAAAATTATGTTTAAAGAAGTAGCGTAAGTAGCATTGTTGAACATATGACATTTGTATCAACCGAGCTACGACAGCGTTCATCAACATCAGACAATAACTATTCTTTGTCTGCGTTCAATTCAACTTTTGTATATCGTGGGAACTAGAACTGCAAGTATTACCTTATTTTATGATTATATGTTAACTCAATGGTATTGTTCAATAAGGTTAGTACTACATGCTTACACACGCATCGCAAAAAAGTACACAGGTTGAGGTTTAGATTCATCCAGCTGGACATCGCAATAAAATGTCATCATTTGATATTAATCAAATAAAATGCAGTGTGTTCCATTTTTATTTAAAATTCACTTGAAAATTATTATTAAAATTAGGATAATTTTAAAGTATTATTTTAAGGCCAATAATGAGCATGTGGATAGGATAAGATTACGTAAGTCGTACCACATAAGTAAAAATAAGTAGAAATCGTAGAATCTATGGAAAAAAATTATGCGGTAATAATGTCTTGTACTATCGTTGCTGAAATTTATTACAGTAAAATTTCATGCAGTGTACTCTGTTGGATAAAATTAGTAACATTTATAAACACGAACTCAACGCGACTTAGACAACCATTATTCTTAGCATCTATAGCTTAAGTCATACTAAGTCTTTAAAATTGGGCAATTATAATAAAACTTCCTTTTTCACAATTAATTTATTTATACAATTAATTACAGCAAGGATCACAAAGATTTTTTTCTTTTTGTTGTCAACTCCAGCACATAAGTTGTGCATCCATCCTTTGCATTTTAGACATTCACTCATAGTCTCGTTCGTCGCTGTCTTCCTTACAAATATTACGGGAAGACAAACACAATGGGAAACAATATGGTTGACTAAAGGGTAATTCGTTTTGCTAAAAGAGCAGCCATTGGCATGATATTACGCCTAAAAATATACGACTTAAGCGAAGGTACGACTTACGCATTACGCAACCTTACCCTAACTTTGGGTATTGAAAATGACTGACTTGACTCTGTCTTATTTTATTTATTTAAAAAGTTATTTTCCTGTCTGAATAATAATTCTTTTCTGTTTAATTAATTTGATCTTATGCGTGAATTTATTTTTATACAAGAATTATTTTGATCAAGATTTTTTTTTTCATTTATTATTATTTACCGTGAGTCCCAGGTTTTTTTTTACATTCGCATTTCAGTTCTGCAATAATTTGACGTTTCAGTGTATGATGCATAGCACCACACATGATTGGAATTAATTTGAAGAATGAGCATAAATGAACTCAGCTTTTTTTCTCATTTTTGACACAGCAACCTAAAAGATTTAGCGCCCCTAATCTATTCTGCGATGAAGAATTATAATATTCATTAAATTTTTCCATTTACGATAAATATAAATAGATTGAGAATACACTTTTTTTTTAAATATGTGTTTGAAAATTGAGACACAATAACACGCCGAATAAATACTAATTCAGAAGTCAAACAACAAAAATCAGCGTTATAATAACGCTGATTTTTGTTGTTTGACTTCTGAATTATGTGTTTGAAAGTCTGTACATATTTAAGAAGTGTACTAGGTTATAAAATGTGCTGCAAATATTACGTGAACATTTATGGTTTCTTTTGCAATAACAAAATATACATGTGAAGTATTTTCCTTGTTTCATCATAAGTTTAATTCGATTCGAGATAAACAAGACAATATAATACCTCAAAAAACAAGTAAGTAAATAAATAATATAAATGTAGTAGAAGTTTCATGGCAAGATGCAGCTGAATAACGAATTTTTGAAACCTAAAAGTATATTTGGTATATAAACATAATATGAAAAATTTTGTATGATTTAGTATGATAATGTATGGTTATGTTGAACTTGTATGATTTTTTTCAAGAAATGAGTTTTCTTAGTTAGCTATATTTTTATAAAGTGCCCTTTATCAAATAAACATGAATTTTTAACCTACAGCATTTCTTATCTTACAACATTGACAACATTGAACTTATTTAATTCCAAGATACATTTTAGAGAATAACTGTTTTCATTAAAAAATATAT